CCCATCAGCCCCGGGGGGTCAGTCAGGGCTCATATGTGCATAACAATGCTAACCTAAATTGAATTACTTCTTATGGAAATTGAACAAATGTTGGTACAAAATGTGATTTTCCTATATTAGCTATAGTAAATTTACCCCCTTCCCAGGGGGAAACGTGATACCCAAGGGTCATGAAATTCACAATTTTGGTAGATCACCGTAAGACCCTTCCATCTATGAAGAGTGTTTGATTCTACCATATCTGGGTCTTGAGAAGAAGAGTTTTGAAATTTCTGTCAATTCGACTCTTTTTGGCCCCACCCATCAGCCCCGGGGGGTCAGTCAGGTCCGATACGTGCATACCATCAAACTGCTATCCAATACTGATAATGCAAATATAAATTGAATTACCTCCAAGGGCAATTAAACAAATGTTAGTCCAAAATGTGGTTTCCCTATATAAACTATATTAAAGTTTACCCCCTCCCAAGGGGAAAACGTGATACCCCAGGGTCATAAAATACACAATTTTGGTAGAGCACCTTAAAACCCTTCCATCTCTGAAGAGTGTTTGATTCTACCATATCTGGGTCTGGAGAAGAAGAGTTTTGAAATTTCAGTCAATTCGACCCTTTTTGGCCCCACCCAACAGCCCCGGGGGGTCAGTCAGGGCTGATACGTGCATACCATCAAACTGCTATCCAATACTGATAATGCTAACTCAAATTGAATTACTTCCAATGAAAATTAAACAAATGTTGGTCCAAAATGTGATTTCCCTATATAAACAATAGTTAAGTTTACCCCCTCCCCAGGGGTACACGCGAGAACCCAGGGTCATACAATTCACAATTGTGGCAGAGCACCTTAAGACCCTTCCATCTATGAAGAGTGTTTGATTCTACCATATCTGGGTCTTGAAAAGAATATTTTAGAAATTTCAGACTATTCAAACCTTTTTGGCCCCGCCCCTCAGTCAGCACTCAGATGTGCATACTATCAAAATGCTACCTAATACTGATCATTCTAACCTAAATTGAATTACTTCCAATGGAAATTAAACAAATGTTGGTCCAAAATGTGATTTCCCTATATTAACTAAAGTAAAGTTTACCCCCTCGCCAGGGGGAAACGTGAGACGCCAGGGTCAAGAAATTCATAAATTTGGTACAGCACCTTAAGACCCTTCCATCTATGAAGAGTATTTGATTCTACAATATCTGGGTCTGGAGAAGATTTTTTTTGAAATTTTAGTCAATTTGACCCTTTTCGGCCCCGCCCCTCAGACCCCTGGGGACCAAACCGGTCACTATTATTGACCTTTGGCCATACAAGGTTTCTGCTAAATTTCATTGAAATTGGTTCAGGGGTTTTGGAGAAGAAGTCGAAAATGTAAATTATTTACAGACGCACGCCGGACAAAAGGCGATCGCGAATGGTCACCTGAGACAAAGTCTCAGGTGACCTAAAAAGTTGACGGACGGACGACGGACGCTGCAGTACGGCATTAGCTCACATGGCCCTTTGGGCTGGGTGAGCTAAAAATTAATTTTGGAATTAAAATTGAACTTGCAGTTGCCTACGTAGGGAGGTGTCGAACCATTTGAAAAGGTCAGTATCTATCCCATTAGTTTAATTTCTACAAAAGTAATTAATGACACGTGGATTCCTTGCGATACAATCGGCATTTTATTTTGGAAGTACGTTCTTATAAGACTTAAGTGGTTAATAGTACGCTCAGCTCGGCAAACCTGATGATCAGCTTGATTTTGATGTGGTTGCACTTTAACATAGTACTTGCATGTCATTAGAAAATGAAATGAACCTAGTTGTTGCGGGAACACAAGATAATCAATAAATATATTAAGCACTCACTTATTCATACTCCCTTTGTGCAGTAAATTAAGATAGATTATGCAACTTTATAGATATTTTGCAGTGATACACAATCATTAAAAGACGTTTATATTTCATATGAGTCGAAAAGTAGCCGCTCATTTCCTTTTCGTAATCCTTTTTATCTATGCCTGAAGGCACGCACATCAATAGCGCTAATAGGTTAAGATAGAATATCGGGTCTTCCAGACGGTGTGATCGCCTGCGAAACATCACTGGGTCAGATAAACACTCTCATCATTTACTGTCTGTCTGTCTGTCGGGAAAACACGCAATAGTCAGTATCATTTGGGAATTGACAAATCAGCGACACAATGCGTTTGATAAAGGTAATTATGTGACCGACGCATTGCCTACAGTGTGTCCGAAAGAACTATTTTTGTGTGAGATAGCTAATTAACATCACTGACAAAGAAGAAGTGACTTATAGATACGGCTCGTCATCTTTTGTTTGATTTTTCACACGCTTCAACCGTCGTTTGAATACTGAATCAACAGACATCCTTTTGTAGATGCCCTAGTATCGATATTGTACGTTTTGTCGACTTGACCGGAAAACTTCATACTTTAATACTTTATGTGATGGATGACAATTTTTAGTTCAGAATATATTACGCAATGACCGACCACCTTTCTTTTATTTCATTTTTCATTTAAAAGAAGCGTTGGGAAAATTTGCTGATCAACCATAAAATCTAATCTTCCTAACAATCGTTTTGTTTCCTAGCGCCTTACCTGGCAATACCTCACTATTGGCATTAGTTAGGAACCTATGTAATATAAAAATGTTTGACAAAAAATGTTCTTCATTTAAATATAAATAAAAATATATCGACTTTATCAAAATTAATATTTTCCTCCGTTCTGTCTTCTGCCAATGTTACAGTCTGATTTGACAAGGTCTTTCCAATAGTTTAAAACATGGAACATTCCGATGTGAATTTTGAAATTCTACATGATCTGATAGTGGATGCAGTGGACGACGCGGATGGGTTTGTAAATGCAGCAGAAAATTGATTCCCCCCCCCCCCCACAACAGCCTTTACAAACTTCTGAGGCCTGTATCTAGAAGCCCCCTTAAGATTTAAGATTACCTTAAGAATACCTTTGTGTGCTAAGGTGTAACTAGAAGTAACCTTATGTATACCGTTAAGGGTATAACAGTAAAAAGATACGAATAACTGTGCTTTTCCCCTTATCGTTGACGTAAACAAATCTTACGATAGTCTTGACTAAGTGGGTAACTCGATGTCCTCGTAAGTCTAAAGAGTATACAACGATCATCTTAAGCATTTTTAAGGGGCGGTTTTCTGTAACTAGAAGCACACTTTAGCACTCGTCAGTACCCTTAATCTAAGAGAACTAGGCTACCTTATGAGTAAATAACATGGCGATTTTTCTGCTTCTTAATCGCAATCAGGACGTTCCAAGACGTTTGTTTCGAGACAGAAGAAATCCCTTGGATTATCTGAGCGATGATGCAGTTATTGCAGACTACCGCTTAGACAGACGAACATTTTATGAGTTGTGTGATACTTTTGAAGAGGAACTCGAAAGGCCTACACGAAGAAGCATGTCTCTTCCAGTGTCACTGCTTTGAGATATTTCGCCAGTGGCAGTACATGTCTGTCATTGGTGAAGCGCATGGAGTATGTAAAATGACAGTATCTCGAGCAGTTAAAAACATTACTGGTTTGATTACTCGGCATTTGGACAAATATATAACATTTCCCACAGATATACAAACACAACTTAGTGTTAAACGAGAATTTTACAACATCCGTGGATTTCCAAGTGTTTTGGGGGCTGTAGACGGCACTTTGATACCTATTGAAACACCTTCCATTGATGAATACCACTATGTTTGCCGAAAAGGATACCATGCTATGAACATCCAAGGAGTGTGCGATGCTAAATTGAAATTTCTCAATATAGTCGCAAAATGGCCAGGAGCAACACATGACTCTTTTATATGGACTAGCTGTGGTCTCTGTGCTGCATTTGAAGCAAAGGAAATAAATGGAGGGTGGCTGTTGGGTGACAGTGGTTACGGCTTGCGACCATGGTTACTGACACCAAAGTTGAACCCAAGTTCGCAGTATTGTCATCCTCTGTTGGGTTAATTTCTTCGTCAGTGTTTGTCGGTGCTCTTGAATCTGTATGGTTACAATCAATTTGTTGATGTCTAAAAATAAAGAAGAGTGATTGATCGAATGTTCACTTGTTCATGGAAACTAACACTAGTTTTTTTTTGTTAATTATTGTATAGTTAAAAATACAGTTTTACAAACTGAGACTTTTTAATCATGACCATACATTTTTCTTTCTCCTTATTGTCCTATCAACAAGCATTTGTAAAATAAACTCAGTGATAGAAATAAAATACCTTGTATATTAAGGACCTAAAACCTGTGTTCATGAAATTCATATTACATGAACACGAATGTAAGATTCTATTTATAATATAATTCGAGAAGCACGCTAGCAAAGTATTTTCAATATTGTTTCGCTACAAAGACTCTAGATGACGTAATATAAATTGCATGACGTAATTTATTCTTGACGTCACAATTATATGTTTACAGTGACCAGCAATTTGCACGTTTTATTTTTATACTGTCCGTCAGTAGACCTAGCCTGTATTTTTTTTTTTATACAGACTAATATATACTAGGTGTTTCATTTCTATAACTTTATCTATAACTACAAACGCATGTAATCTAACGTGGATATTGGTATCATTAAAGCGAATATTCATATTCTGCCTATGTTACCATCCGACGACATCCGTTTGTCGTCGAGAGCTACTGTATGATATCATGAGCTTGACGTCATGTGTAGTTTTGTCCAAGGCAGTATACATGTAAATTTCAGATAACAGGGAATGATTTTTAAACATGAAAGGAGTACATGTGCACAAAAAGCTACCAGTTTTTGGGTACATTTCGGTTCGAATATGCTCCCTTTTACGTATAGCTTACTTGTTTTTCAGTTATCTAATTGATACCAATTACATTGATGTTTAATTGTTCTCTAACCATATAGCTGACGTCATTGTTTATTATGGGTATACCGTCATTTGCTCTGATGGTAGTATTAGAATATTCTTGTATATATATATGTTTTCAACATTTTACCAACCTCTGTACATCGAATGTGTCAGTGATGTCGCCACTGATGCCGTGGACTGCTGTTACTCCTAACACCTCGATCACTTTCTGCTCAAGTTCACTCAGTTCATTTCCGTCAATTGTTCCACCACCTGTTTTGGCTCTTTCTCTCTTCAGTTTAGCTTCTTTCCCTTTAACAACACTTGCCCAATCTTGCCACTTCTTCCTGACATCGTCTGTTGTTCTTACATTGCTGCTTACTGCATTCACTGCTTTGGTTATAATAACCCATTCTCTCTTTTTTTTCTCATTGGATACTGTGTCAGAGAATTTACCTAATATTATTTCTCTACTGTTCATCACACCTTCTACTAAAGCTGAAAGTTCAGTAACCGAGAAGTTCGGTTTTCTTGTTCGCTTGGAAGCCATGATCTAGTGTTTTTGTTTTTGTATTCAGCATCACGATGAAATGTAATCAGTTAAAAGCTTAGAGGAATTCCGTACGATCAAAATCGCACAGATGACTCAGGTAAGTTAAAATGCAATATAGAAAAGAAACCAATACTCGGACTCCGAAAATTTTTCCCTTTTCATTCTCGCAAAATGCTGTCGTAAGGGAATGTTACGAGATGTCAAAAGTCACCAAAGGGAAAGTTACTCTTTCGTTGAGGGACTTCCGAGTTACACCCTTATGTTTTTCGTAAGGTCCCCTTATATCCATCCCTTACCCTTAGTGTTAAGGTGGTTTTCTAGTTACAGGCCCCTGTTTCTGCTCCCCATACTTGTCCCCCAATCAACAATTCCAACTTTGGAATCTGATGTTGAAATGTCTCCCGGGAGAACATTCACGTCTGGAATCTCCGGTTTAAGAGATTACATAATGAGTAAAAAAAACAACCCAACACTGTTCGTATAACTGAAGGCTGCATCAGGAAATTTGTTGATTGGATCGCACAAGCCCCACGCTTCGACGTCAGGCCATTGGGCGATATTTTGCCATTTGAAATGGACACTTACATAGGAGGGTTTCTTTTATTTGCTCATTACGAACCCCCGACACTTTGACAAGCTTGCATCGCGGAATTGACCGTCATTTACGCGAAATAAAGTAACCATACAATATCATGACATCCGATTTGTTCAGTACGAGCAGTCAGGTGCTTCAATCACGCAGGAAAGAACAACCGCGGGGGTTAGAAAACAAACTAAACAGGGCCGAGCCGGTGAAAAGTGAAAAGTGCCAAGAATATTTGGAATTTAAAGAAAGGTCGACCAAAACTCGTGGGGGAAAACTCTACTCACCAAAGATCGTTTAATCCGAAACTTTTCGCAAATCCGGAAAATTTATCCAGGTGTCCGATTGAATCGTATAAACTTTACGCAAACACAGACCACTTCCAATGCACACTGCCGAATATCCTTTTTATCTTGCTGTTAACCACAACGAGAATGGTAAAAAGAGGTTTAAAAATCAGCCAGTTGGGGAAAAAACCTTTCTATGATGTTCAAAACAATGGCAAACAATGCTGGCCTTGTTGGAAGAAAAGACCAACCAATCCCTCCGACAAAAACTCTATGCACAAAACATTTACATTCTGGCTTTGCCCCGACGACGATCATGCAGTTGATTAGCCACAAAAATGTAAACGGTGTAAACGATTATGCAGTGGCGTCTATGGATCCACAGCGTGAAATGTGCGAACTCTTACACAATGTCCCAAAAACATCTGTCTTCAAAACCTGCATCATCAACACTCTCGTTGTGAAGTAGGACATTCCAGAAATGGAAATGTGGTCGCACCTGTTCAAACCTCAACGATGCAGAGGTCATCTGGATAGTGTCAAAATTTTGCCACGTTTTCTGGAGCGAATGTTACTGGCGGCACATTTAACATTTCATTTCCAATATCGTTCCGATCAACTTCCTCTCACGTTACTTCACCTCCGAGGAAATACCTAATCGAACCAATTACTGACTCAGATGATGACGATACTGTGTGACATGTCTCTGTGAACAGTTGACAGTTTTTTGTGTGAATGACATCTGCACGTGATGTGACGTCGCGACTTAGTTGGGAGATTTTGTTTGATGCAATGGAAATATTACTTTAATCTAAATAGTATATTATGCATATGCTTTTTTTTCTTCATTTTAACAATACTTAAATACGACAGTCTATATCAACACTGCTGCTTAAAAGTCAACAATATTTGATTGGAATGTATATTAAATATCGAATAATTGGCCGGACAGTACGGATAATTTGAACACGGCAGACTTTTAACAAGTTTTACACTACAAATGTTATTGGGGTTTTTTTTCTCTTTTTCTTAACCAGTATTGTTTTCTCCTCTTAAATGCTAAATTTGAAACAGAAGGGAATGTTTCTATCAGCACAAAGAATGCTGTTTATAACTGGAGCTGTCAAGTGATTATGGCCTGCTGATTAGGGGACGTCGACAAGAAACTCGGGCGATCCGACTAGTCAGATCAACACATATGGGTGATTTTGCCTATTTATATAATCTTTGTATCGATCTCTACCAAGTACGGAAGGTATGTGATAAAATCAAGACCACACACTTGCGTTTTTCTAACGAATCAGAAAGCACTAGTTTATTGCGCGGACGAATATATTCACGAGTGATGGGACGTCGACAAGAAACTCAGGCGATCCGACTAGTCAGCTCAACACATATATCAAATAGGTGATTTTGCCTATTTATAAAATCTATGTATCAATCTGTACCAAATACGGAAGGTATGTGATATCGTGAATATATTCGTCCGCGCAATAAACTCGTGCTTTCTGATTCGTTAGAAAAACACAAGTGTGTGGTCTTGCATATGTAACCAAGTGTGGAAGGCAATAGGATATGTCCTCAGACCGGCACCTACCGAGAAAGGTAGCTGTTCCAGTAATCACATTACCTGTTCTCAGTAAAATATGACCGAGTGTAATACTGCGCTGGGTGCCTTCGGCATGTTATTTCAGTGCGGAAGAACTCCAAATTTAAGATGGTTTTCAATGTTTCATTGCTGGCATAGAGCATTTTTTTGACAAAACCTTCAAGCATGTATGCCGGTAGAATTGACCTATAGTCCAAATTGTTCTTTTTGTGAATCGTGCTAGATCACTTGTCGACACGACTTTCAGACATTGCTTTCTAGGAACTGATGTTTTGTTTGGTTGTTTTTCTGTTTCTTTTATAATTCTTAATGACAAAACTGTTAAAATTGCCATATTTGGTTTGTTTTGTTTGTATCGTTTAACGTCTATCAACAGCTATGGTCATTTGAGGACGGCCTCCCCTGTGTGCGAGATGCATGCGTGTTGTGTATGCTTATGTTTTGGGAGGCTGCGATATGTTTGTGTCTATCCTCATGTGATAGCGCAAAACTGATGTCGACTTTATAGAGCTAGCTCACTGAAGCAAACTGCGGAAGACATCCAGCAGGGTACCTCATCCGGTCATATTATACTGACAACGGGCGAACTAGTCGTCCCACTCCCAAATTGCTGAGCGCTATAGCAGAAATAGAAACTACCATTTTTAGAGACTCGGCCAGGGGACAGAACCCAATGCATTCCTCACAGGGACGAATGCTCCACTAAAGGCCAAAAGTGAGGCAATGTCAATGGAGACATTAGGAAGGCGAAAGTTGTTTAGAAAGAAGAGAAAAGATAAGATCCCAAATTTAGTGTCGCCTTTTACGATCATGCAATGGGGGCAGCAAGTACAATTCTTACATAAATAGAAATAATCTGCGTAAAAAGCGATATAATAGCACTTATGGCAATACACAATATAATGCCGTTATCAGAGGACGCATGCTGAATTGGTGTTGTGCAACCTGAAGCCAACTTGGGGGAAGTTATAAGGGGTTATCTCCCTTGTTCAATGGAAACAAATTTGGAAGAGAGCCGTCGGAGTGAAATCAGCCTAAGTTTATCAAAGATTTACTAGCTTAAATGCTTTATATCTTCAATAATTCGATGCGATATGATTCAGTGATATATGATGATGTTTTCAATCTAAATACTTAATTTTTGAATAATATTTACCATCCGATGGCATAGGATTATAGGCACATACATGAACACATACATGCAATGGCGTGGTCGACCATTTTTGTCGGTATCCCGATATATACAAATGAGACCGTTGATGATAGTCAGAATTATTTTTTGCAATGCATAGAAGTGCATTAGTTGACAAAAGAACATTTGAAATTCAATTCAACTTTAACACATATTTTGTTGCAACGTTTCTGTTTATGATCATGAAGCAATTGGCTGACTCGCCCCCACGTTTTACTTTGAGTCGAGTTGTCTTATGCACAATAGGTCATTGCAAGGATATTTATGGAAATGTGATACATAACACGACACTTGGTAAATAACTTTATGTTAATACTATTCAACAAAGAAATGTATACGCTAAACGACAATATTAACGATTCTTTTGTTTACAATAACAAAACAGTGAGCATGTATAGACCTCAAAAAAGGAAGAGTGCAGTCGGTCGTCGACCGGAGCAACCATAGTCGGGGTCGGGTCAGCCACAGCCAGTACGGGAAGCGTCAGAATCTCAACTGGGTATGTCAATACCAACCCGTATTACAAGTATGAATGGCAATTTAGGCCTGCATGTAGCAGCTAATGACAAAGTACTAGATTGCGGGGTTCCTCAAGGGTAGTTGTTAGGACCACGAAAATATTGTATGTACTCCAAACCGATTGGAGATATTTGTCGTCGCCATAGCCTTCGCTATCATTGCTATGCTGATGACACACAAATTTACATGGTCATAAAACCACAGGACAGTTGGAATACAGTCTCAGAAAGTCTGGAAGCTTGTCTGACATATATCAGTATCTGGATGAACGCCAACATGCTTAAACTTAATCAGGAAAAGACGGAACTAATCGTCTTTTCCCCACAGTGTCAGCAAACAATGGCTCTCCAGCTCAAGGTTGGTGCCAGAACTATTGAGACTGTTCCAGCTGTTAAAAACCTAGGGGTATACTTTGACAGTTCTCTGAACATGGAGAAACAAGTGAACGCTATTGCCAAATCCTGTTACTACCAGATCAGGAACATCGGCTGTATTCGGCAGTTTCTAACTGCAGATGCATGCAAGATTTTGGTGCATTCACTTGTTACCTCTCGGTTGGATTATGGTAACGCCCTGCTCTGTGGTATATCTGACAAACTAACTAGTCGTCTGCAGAGGGTTCAGAACACTGCAGCACGGCTAGTTACTCGTACTCGAAAGAGAGAGCACATCACACCTGCGCTTTATTCGTTGCACTGGTTACCTGTACGATACAGGTCGCAGTACAAAATTCTGGTATACACATACAAGGCACTGAATGGAACAGCTCCTCAGTACCTACAGGAACTTGTTACCCTGTATCAGCCG